CACCATTTACCTTTGGGAATTAAGATGCAACATGTTTTAAAGGTCAGTTCCTTTGTTATAGGGATTCTCAATAGAAACAGGAAATAAAATTTTCNGAATTAAGATGCAACATGTTTTAAAGGTCAGTTCCTTTGTTATAGGGATTCTCAATAGAAACAGGAAATAAAATTTTCATTTGGACATACTCTTTCTCCTTAACATCCCATCCCATCCCATCCCATCCCATCCCATCCCATCCCATCCCATCCCATCCCATCCCATCCCATCCCATCCCATCCCATCCCATCCCGTCCATCTATGGCATGAATGTAAATAATATCTGTAGATACATGTGGAGGTAGTGCACTGTTATGGGTTAAGGTTTCTCCTTTTGTTTCCTTTCTTGGGGAATTTTTCTTTCCCAGTTTGTTGCTGGGATACACTGATTACCAGGTCATCCTTTTGATGGCTGGGCGATTGCTGAAGACAAAAGAACCTAGCCCCACCCAAAGACTCTCCCTGGGCACTGCTCCTGCCTGGCAGTTTTCTTTTTTTCCTCTCTTTGGAGAGAGGGAAGTTCTTTCAGGAGAGAGGGAAGTTCTTGTGGGAGTTTTGGGCTCTGCAAGGGCATGTGTATGTGTGAGGCGGGGGGGTAGCTTCACTTCCTGCCCTGCTTGGCTCAGAGGAGGACGGTGGACCTGCTGCCTGCAAGGGAGAGCTTGCCTCCTTGCTGCTCAGAGCCCAGCATCTCTGGCCATTGGTTTCTGTTTGCTGCACTGTGATCTTCTGCTCCTGTGCCTTGCCGGGGACCCCCTGGGATTCCAGCTGCAGTGGTCGAGTTCTGCTGCATCCCCCGTGCCGAGGGATTCTGCTCGTCTTTTTGCCCATCTGGCCATTCTGGGGTTTCTTGCTGTCCAGAGGAGCACCGAGATCGTAGTTTTCTGCTGTGAGTTTGCAGAGGAACTTTTTCATCCACCTCTGCCATTTTGTGTCCGCCATTGGCCACCGGGAGATCTGACCCAGCCGGGACCCGCGCCACAGCGCCCCCTGCAGCCGCCAGGGAATCATCGCACCCGCCCTGCCCTGCCGGGAGCCAGCAGCGCCCCTGCCGACCGGGACTGTAACTGCACCAAAGGGGAGGCTGTGTCTCTGTAAGGCTGTCACTGGGTTTGTGGTTGGGTTGGTTGTTGCTATCATTGTTGTTACTTGTTTCACCTTGTTATACATATTAGTAAAAACTGCTATTCCCTTTTACCCATATTCTTGTCTGAAAGCCCGTGATTTTCAAAGCTATAATAATTTAGAGGGAAAGGGCGTGTGATATCCACCACTCCAAGGGGGGTCCCTGCCTTCATTGGCAAGCACCCGTCTTTCAAACCAAGACATGCACTTAACAGCTTTGTATTTCACATACACARTTTTCTTTGTCAGTGTGCTACATACATAATATGCATGCTCAGGGAATAGCATGCCTCAAATAATATTACTTGCCAATTAAAACGGGTCGACCAGGCATATTCATACATTCCAGCCTCCTGATGAGTTTCAATTACTGCTATTTTTAACTTGCTAGAGGATATTTCTTTCTTATCTTTCACCTTCCAAAAATACATACCTTTAAAACCTTAAAGAGCAAGAGTTCCCTTTTGGACRTGAATGTATTCTTCTAGAGATAAAATTTGTCTGGCTTAAAAATCCCAATGCGYATGAATTTCTACTAGACTAAAAATAATTTTTATTTCTTTGGAATTAGGGAAGTACCTCTTTCAAAAGAGACCCTTTCAAAAGAGGGTTTAAAACTGACTACGAGAGCAATCTACATATTGAGTTTCTAAATCATGAAATTTGTAAATATGTTGTATGTACAAAATTGGTTTTATACTTAAAGGCTCAGCTGCTCCTATGTGGGTGCCCTACATATTGCAGCCTACATAAGATCATTAAATTATCCTTTCTGCTGCCTGAGCCTGTATTTGATCAGTGGCCATTGTCCATTAACTCTGTGCCCATGACTAGCTCCATGTATGTATCCCTTTCCTGGGGACCTGCTTTTCTCTGGACCTTCCCACATGCCCCGTCTTGCCACCATGGCAGGAAGCAGTGCAAGTGTTACTCACTGGGAGCARCTTGTTCCAGATTTCCTGTGGTTTCACCTGTGAGCTGTAGCCATAGAATGGCTTGCTTATCCTTATCATCCTGTGGCCTTCTACCTTGGACATGCAAATGGATAGTGGTCCTTTTCTTCGGCCTGGTTTTCCAGGCTTCCTACACATTTTCAACAGAAAGGAAGAAACCGTTTTCTGGAGCAATCGCCATTGGCTCAGCTTGCAATAGAGAGGTGATTTGGGTATGGGCGTAAGTCAACATCCCTGTCAACTTAGAGAGGTTATGTGTGGCAGAGTTCATGCTTCATGCTGCCTTTGTGCCAGTTGCAGAAAGCAGCAACAGKGCAAGTGCCAGCTGGTCCCCACAGACACTGCCTATGAACACAGTATTTTAAAGCTGATTCTAAGATCTCTTGTACCACTAAACTCTGGCCTATAATGCCTACAGTTTCTTAGCAAGGCCATCCAGTCCAGCTCAGCTAAGCCTTCTTAAGCAAGCATGATATTTTATATCTTGAGGGACAGTWATTACCCATGCATCATAATAATAGGCAGGTGTTGGAGCACCTCCAGCAGCTTACAGAGACTAAACATGACAAATAAATGTCACAAGTGATGAAGCCAGTAAGCAGCATGCCAGAGCTGAAGGATACTCTCTGTGCCCCATCAGGATGAGAGCCAGGCATCAGCTCAGTGCAACGTTTCAGTATATGCTCACCTTTRAGTATAAAGTGTTTTCCCTGCCAAAGCAAAAGGGAGAGGTTTAAGTCTTCTCACACATATATAATRTTTCTGCTTCCACAGAATGATGTGCATAATCCTTGATAATCTGTATCCAGGATGGTTCTTTACTAAAGGCATTCATAAATGAACCAGAGCTCTGAAAGTACACGTTGATATTACCTTTTTTTAGATATGTACAATTTGGACCTAAATAGAATATACAACCRACTATAAATAGAAAGGAAGAGCGGAAATCATACCAGAGGATTTTGCTATTGAAGGGTTACAGCAGAGATAAACTTCAAAACAGAGCATGGTGAARTAATTCCTGACAATTAGCATGTCAGCAAAGGGAACATTTATTGTAGATAGCATTGCTATTTATAATTATCCGCTGCAATTGTTGCTAACCTCATTAGAAGAATTTCTGTTGTAAATTTCTCAAGAGAATAACACCAAAGAGTTCAATGCTGGTACCCGYTCACCTTCCTCCTTTGAGAGCGTGACTGTGTAAAGCTAATGGGATGATACTGACATCTTAGATGAATAAAGCTGCTTTCTTCTTTCAGTGATGTGTAGTTTCCTTCAATTTAGTCTCCTATGTGATAGTCTTCGGGTTTCTCAGCTTTATTGGGCTGCCTCGTTTGTTCTGCAGCTGATCACACCATCARTGTGTCCTGATGCACAGTGTCACTTGTTGTGTGGCATTATCTTTGTTTTCTGGTTGATGTACAATAACRATGTCAATTCTTCACAGTGTTTACAATTGATTTATTTTAATGTCAGATTGAATGGTTCACATATTTTCTCACTTTTTAGTGCAACTATTAATTAACATAATTGTCTTCAGAACCGAGTCTCAGCACCCAGGACTATTTCCGTAGCAAGGCTGAGTTGGTTAAAGCATCCTTGTACAAATCTCTGTTAAAATTAAAATTGTTGTTATCACTAAAAAGAAAAACCCAGGAGGTTGCTGGCTCGTCCCTGCAGGTGGCCAGAGCACAGATGCGAAATCCATTTCATCCCACTGAAGCTGGAGCAATGAGGCCATGGCCCAGCCCATCCTGGGGTGCAGCTTCAGCCGCTTTGGTTCATGACCATTTTGTACTTCCACAGCCCACTGCCCRTGAGCCTCACTCACTCTGACCACCTGAAAATGCCTCCATATGTGTGTATTATTTTTGCTGCTCATTTTGTATTTAGTGATGATCAAAACCACAAGTGCTGGCCTGGCAAGGTAGCAATATATGCATTYTTATGTGTTTGAATGCCCTGTATAAGGTGGTAAATTGGCAAGCCTGGTCCTGAAGTTGGAGCATGGTCTCACTGGCTGGTTTTTAAGCTTTTGGATAAAAGAGAGTCCAGAACCAAGCCCTTGCTGGGTGACTGGGATATGTTTGCTCTCATGTACACCATGTGGGGTTTTCACATTGGTCTAGAAAAGGAAAAGAGCTTGTTCAGGCAGTGTTAAATGGAACTTGAAAGTAGACTTAAAATTTATTCATATGGACAACCAGAAATCCACACCTCAGGCTCTATCTGCCCACCTTTTATTTACACACATATCTGTGCATGCATGGGGGTCACTTCCTCTGCCTTGGTTCTCAGCAACTTCTTAGATGTTTTTAATTATTAGAGATTATTCCTTGACTTCTCTGGAAATCTTTCAGGCTTGTAGTCTGACAGCTGCTAGGGAGCTCGAAGTCTGTGAGAAGACAGTGTTTTGGAGGCCAAAGGCTGTGAAGGCATCCCCTGAGTGGGATTCTTCAAATAATTGTCCCTCATAGTATGCTACAAGAAATTACCACATCTGTTGCAGTACAAATGAGTGTAGTACAGACAACTGCATGTAGGTATTTTCTGGGCGGCTTTTTTAAGGGGAAAGTTGGTTCAAAGGGGCTGTGTCTTCTGTCTTACAATTAGATAATTATGTTTAATTAGACAGGGGTTTATCCGTGCTAAGGTAAATGTTTTCAGTTTTGATAATTTTGTAAGGTTTTTGTAACTAATTTTTAGGCAAAGCTGAATTTTTAAGTAATATAAATGATTGATAAATCTGATTTCTCAGTATGTCATGCTAAGCTCTCTAGTAGCTCTAGTATGTTCAAGCCAAAAGTTTATTTTTAGCCTGACTCTCTGCTGTGCATGTTGTCATAACAGGCACTTGATGAGACCAATCTTCTTTGTTTATAGATGAGGTCTTGTCTGAAAACTTTTTGGACTACAAGAACCGTGGTGTCAATGGCTCTCACCGTGGTCAAATTATCTGGAAGATTGATGCCAGCTCTTACTTTGTGGAGCGTAAGTACTTTTCCAATTCTGCTATGATATAACTCAATCACTGCTGAAAGATAATTTAGCTGTTGCTGTTTGTTTTAGTGAAGTTTTTGTGTCAAATTTGTCCCTTTGAAAAGGCCAAAAATGCTACCAAAACCTTTAAATGTGTTGACAGAAACTGAAACACTTGGTGGAATAGTAACCCACAGTTTCTGCAAATTTTGTGGGCATTGACTTATTTACTTTTTTGTTTAATACAGTTATGAATATGTGYTTTACTCAATTTACTGTTATTTGGACTATATCATTAGCAATTAACTGCATTAACTTTAATATGGTTTTAGGGAAAACAGGAAGTCAGGGACATAATCTCATTCTAGGAAGAATCACACTGGCTTTTAAYTGGAAAGCTTCATGGTGTATCTGAGTTCCACCAGATTCAGGTGAAGTCAGAAGCGGAGAGGATGGAGTTCTGATTATCATCTAGATAAATGAAAGTGTAACTACATATAGTTGCAGCAAGGTACACTGATTTTAAATGAATTGTTCTTCACTATATTAATATATTACCCAGGGCATTTGATGCAATGCAGTATAACTTCTTTCTGCCCTCTTAGCAATGAAAATACAAAACACTGAATTTGCTTCTGCAAGGTACTTTATACAGCCCGTTGATATTTCCAGCCCTGGCTATCCCATCTCCCTAATCATTCAAATCTTTCTTCTTTTCAAAAAGCTACCATGTGTTAGTGTGAATACCATTCATGATATCTTTGGAGAAAGAAATAGGGTACTCAAAAGACTGGACTGAAATCTATAGCAAAACATCTGTGGTAAAAGAGCCACATGTATCCTTAAGGCGGAGTTAACCATGAAGAAGAGTAGCATGTAACAATTTCACTTTTACAAATGAAATGCAGATTTCCAGTGATCTGCCTTAGCTCCTCAACAAAATTCAGAAGTTTGGTTAAAGCATTTATAAATTACTTGACAGGTATATCTGTCTAAGACTGTCTAAATTTGAGAGCAGTCAAAGGAATCTTTTATATAACCTATATTCTAAAGGATTTGTAAAGGACACGAGTTATAMTTGTTCAGTCTATGACTTTGATCTAAAATATCTGCTATCAGCAAGGGTGCTGTATGCAAACATTTTACAAATGCTGAGTCCTAGATGCAGGTTTGCTCTTTGCAGTGTGAAGTATTGCTGTTGATCTGTAATTCCTAGTGTCAGATAGAGCGTTGTTCTAAAGAATTTAGGAAGCTGCTGAAATGTCTATATAAAATACAGGATGTTTATGTTCTGTGTTTGGATGGAAAACTGTTTCATATAAGAGCATAACTGTAACATATAAGAGCATTGGGCTTTTTCGGTTATCCTAATTTTGTGGTAGAAATTCATTACAGGAACCTTTAAAGCAGGCTCTAATTTGCAGAGGCTTTGAGCCATGGTTACAAATCCCTAAGACTGATCATACTTTCTTTTATGTGTTAAGAACTGTGGGAAGGAGATACAAAATCCCAGACCAGGTTTTTGAAGAGACCTTAGTACCTTGGATTACTGGGGAAGGGCAGAGGTGTGACAAGACTGCTGGTAGCTTCCTTGCCTAATCCAAAATATAAAACAAAGAGGCAACATGAGAAATGCCTAGGAGGAAGCCCCTTTAGGTGGGCCACTTTTCATTAAGGGCTCAACTGCACAATGAATTATGTCAGCTCAATAGGTTGCCCCCATTAGCTGAGACACAGTAGCTGTTGTTAATTGATTRCATGTACATTCTTCACTTGCCCTACTGTAAGAAGATGCAAATAAGCATAACCATCCTTCACTGATGCTTGGAACTAAGTTGTACTATGCCATAGTTGGGCTGCCCATGCTTGATGATTTGCTGTCTCTTGGTAATTTTTTATGCTGCTACCATTAGGTYGTGAATATCAGCCCTGAGATTATGTACCAGTGCGCTCATCAAAGACAAATCATTGCTTGTCCAGAATTAAAATGGGAGAAAATTAAATAAGCAGTAGTAAGCACCAGCACATGCAGATACTCTGAGATCCACTTGACTAATGAAGTGGGAAGTTAAAGCAGTGAAGAATGTTGATGTATGTCAGTTTAATGTATTTGAAGAKTTCTGACCATGGCTGAGACTTACAYATGAAAGCACATAGCTTTRCAGTTGATTATATGTTRTGTTAAAAATGRTARTGTCTGAAAACCTTATGGATTTTYTATCCARAKAKGATRGTGTAAAYSRTCTTCCTTCAGCCTTTTWTTTTTTGGATGGAGATCATATCTCCCTTCTATGTTGTATAGYATAACATTTGCAGGGATCAGAGAGATACTGGTCATCAAAATCAAACTCAGCTAAGAAATGTAGCTAAGGTGTGGTAATTTATTTTCAATATATCCATATTATTTTCCCGTACATTGTTATAATTCCCTTAACTTACTATTGATTGGAAGCTTCCTGATTATAGCATTAATTCTCAGTAAAACAGAGTACCTCACTTATAAAGGCAGCTCTTAATTTCTGCTTTTGATTTTCCTGTAACTATTTGTACTTTGGTATCTGTTCACCACGAGTCAATATTGACTATCAACTACACATTGCTTCAGAAAATGKTATTATATAAATTGCAGTGTTTTCTCTGGAGCTCTGATAAAAGGGAGATCATTGTATGGCCAAAGAAAAAATCAGCCTTGCATAGAGAATTTAAATGTCTCAAGAATTTCAGGCATCCCATGCAGATTGGTTTCTATCCTGGCCTCAAAATATTAAAGGCTAAATAGTTTTGGTGGTGCTGTTGTATGAGGCTTATTATAGGGGGACCATGGGAATCATCCTGGCCAGCCTCAGAAGCTGAAGTTTTTCCTGCTGCCAGCAGTTGGACTGTAGGACTTCCCACGGTTGTTTTTGTACCACATATAAGGAAATTGCTCTTATGCTGTGACCAGCCAGCCATCTGACATAAAGAGCTTAAAAATACATCTTTGAGTCTCTTTTTTTATTAAAGAGCTTTGTGGGGCAACTTGAAAAGTCAAAGGTATTAAAGACTAGCTGATTTGCAACAGTGAAATTCCCATTAATATGAAAAAAGAGGTATTAGAAATGAGGTCAAGTAAATAGAGGGTTATTAGTCATTTCTATATTTTTGGCTATGGAGGATATATATAATATGTTTGGGACATATATAATACATTTTGTTCAAATCCTTATATTCCACAGTTATTTATCGTTTTTCCCTGCATTTTTTGAAAATTGACAAGCAACTGAAATATGATGCTCTAACTATGTTACCTGTAGTCATTATACATAAACGCACTCTTTAGGTACTTAACAGATTGGTGACATCTTATYAGTGTAAATAATCACCTGCATGCAATGGGCTGGGATCTGGAATAGGAATGAGTGATGGGAAAAGCATCTGAAAGTTATCTTCTTCATGGCAGCAGATTATCACACTGGAAATCTATCAAACMCAGTAATGATAATTTTGACCAAACCCACCCACCTACAGGATCAYGCTAGAGAGAAAAAGTGCACATGGGCAGATGAAATGTAATGTATTGTGAGTGATTTGTAAAAGTGCATGAGGAATGAAGAGGAAGATGTGGAAAGAAAAGGAAGATGTGGAAAGTAATTTCAACCATTTTCTGCCTTAATTTCACTTCTTCTTTTATAAAACTCAAATTATGCAATTTCAGATGCTTCTCTGTTGTTGCAGTTATACTTTCATGGTATTCTCAGTGGATTTCCCAGAGTCTTTAAGGGTTCTTTTCTGCAGGTATATTTAAAATCTCACCAGCTAAGAAAATGCTTATTGTGAGTTCAATGACAAAGCAAAATAGTTTTCTCTTTTAAGGAAGATGCTTCTATGTTTTGTGGGTATTTGGGCAAAATATGTGTYGCTTTTGAATTTGCTGATAGCCTGATTTAAGACCATCTACAGAGCCCTGTCAGTTTTCAAAACAGATAATTTCTTAACATACTCATGCAGCATTTTCAGGTACCACAGATGTTTAAAGTTTGTATTTGTTTTAGCKATCTACTTTTTCACCTTGAAATGGRCTAGTACCTTTCCCAGAGAAGGGTACACCTTCCCACTTTGCATATCACAAACTTGTAAGGTTGCCAGATTGATAGGTAATTGCTATGAGCCAGAGGGGGAAATGCTTCCAAATGCCAACAGAACAGAACTCATCTTCTATTAACTCAGCAAACAAAAAGCCCTAACAGCTGCAGAGGCAATGTTGTACTACAGTCAGTTTTACATTTCTGCAGAAGTCTGGTAATTTGGGTTTTTTGACAGACAGTGATAAACAGTAAGCCACTGTAGCCATGAACTGGTCAGAGTTTGTGGGGCAGAAGGAAGAGTGAAGAGAGTCTCTRTGCCACTAGTGATGTGTAGTACTTTGTGTTAAGGCTTGGAGGGCACTGCAGTGAAAGAATCAGCCTATAATGGGTTTTCCAGGAAAGGAAATAYGCTCTGCTGCACTGCAACTCCTGGCACACTTTTTGGCTTACACGGCAATACAGAGAGAGAGCATCCAAGAGACCRTTTCACTGAGGTGTGGCACAGCATCATCCAGTAAACATTGCATTTCAAGCTAGCACATCCTTACAATGATGAGTAAAGTTTTGACACTATTCAGAACTGTACTGAAGATAGCCAGATAGCTAGGACCCSTCCTAATCTACAGGCCTCTCTAAAGATTGTTTATTACCTGACAACTAAGAGCCACTTCCAAGGATAACCAGCCATCTATGTGGCATTTTTATGTGAAAGCTTATGCGGCAGTTGTTTGGTTAAATTTGTTGCTATTGTTGTGGTGGCATTTTTTAATAACAAAGATGGATGACAGGCCTTGCAGAAAGCACAAATGATAGTAATTTATTCCTTTTGGCTAGAAGGGAAATAATGGTAAAAAAAAAAAAAGGTGTAACTAAAGTCAGAGATCTGAGAGATCCTGATATATATTCAGACAGAAAAAATTATATTCTGTGTTATGGTCAATGTATTTT